AAGCTCTTGGAGGATTGGCTACATTAGGGGTGTGTCGCCTAATATGCAAAGGAGTTCCTGCTACAAAAAGAGCCCTTATTGTATTTAATTTAAATATGTATACCCCACCTGCCTCCCCCATGGGGCCCCAAAGCACCTTACGTCATCGTTCTCTTGTCCTTCCTTTTACCCTCACAAGCAGCTGCGTGGTGTAGTGGTTAAGAGTGGCAGACTCTGATCTGGAGAACCGGGTTTGATTCCCCACTCCTCCTCCCCATGAGGCCTGCTGGGTGACCCTGGGCCAGTCCCAGCTCTCTCGGAACTCTCTCAGCCCCACCTTCCTCACAAGGTGTCTCGTTGTGGGGAGGAGGAGAAGGTGGTCATAGAGCCACTTTGAGAATCCTTAAGGTAGAGACAAGTAGGGTGTAAAAAGCGTCTCTTCTCTTTTTCTTCTCTTCTACAAGAACCCTGTGAGGTAGGTCAAGGTGGGCAGCCGTGCTGGTCTGAAGCAACAGAGCAAAGTAGGAGTCCGACGGCACCTTTAAGACCAACTGGGTGACCTCCGTCTGATGAAAGCTCACACCTTGAATCAAACTTTGTTGGTCTTAAAGGTGCCACTGGACTCTTACTTTGTTCCTGTGAGGTAGGTGAGGCTGAGGGTGTGCGACCAACCCACGGTCAGCCATGGGCTTCCATGGCAGAGTGGGCATCTCAACCTGAGTCTCCCAGATCCTAGTTTTATTTTAAACACTCTAACCCAGCGGGGCCCCCATGGTGGTGGCCACACCCACCAAATGTTTTCAGAAAGGGGGCTCGGCCAGGTGGCGCTTTTGACCAGCACTGACTGGCCACTAGAGATCTCATTCAAATAACATTGCTTTTGGTAATGACATAATATTTTAAAAGGCACCCTGCTAAACTTTCCCTGAAATGTTGGAGAGTTACTATTATTAGTAGCCAGTTTGGTGTGGTGGTTAAGTGCACAGACTCTAATCTGGGAGAGCCGGGTTTGGTTCCCCACGCCTCCACCTGCACATTCTGGGTGACCTTGGGCAAGCCATAGTTCTGATAAGAGCTGTTCTTGAAAAAAGGGCAGTTTCTGTCAGAGCTCTCTCAGCCCCACCGACCTCACAGGGTGTCTGTTGTGGGGAGGGGAAGGGAAAGGAGTTTGTAAGCCGCTCTGAGACTCCTTTGGGTAGTGAAGGGCGGGGTATAAATCCAATCTCCTCCTCCTCCTCCTCTTCTATTAGAGTTATTCATGACTTCACTCCCTGACATTTTGCGGTTGGTTCTGCCTCCTGTGGCAGCCATTTTGAAGTTGCGCCCACCACCCTGTGTCAGAATTCTAAAGGTGCCCACAGGGTCAAAAAGGTTGGAGAACCCTGGTCTAACCACTATGCCTGCTCTCTGTCACTCGCTGTCTGCTTCCTTACACAACATAAAAGTAAACTCTCAGTCACTTAACATTGCTTTTTTAAAAGTCTGTCTGAAATCCTCAAGACAAATCCTTGGAGGGAGGCCCATTACATACACACATCTTACTGTAGATTTTCAGAACAGTAAGCCTTTAATCTTGACTTCAGATTCTGTGCCCACATTACACACCATTCTTTTCCCTCTGGTGTATTTATTCTGCAGCTACAATTTTAAAAAACCACACTTCTCTAAATCAGGGGGGAATGTCACTTGTGACCAATGTTCCCTCTAAGCTGTGGAGTCTTGTGAGCAAAAATTCTACTTTGTGAGCTACTGGCATTAAAGTTGTGAGCGAGTGAGTTGGCTGCTGCAAAAATTAGTTTGCTCTGGAGCCATCCCTTCCTGAGCGAAGACAAAAGTGTGTGAGCCAGAGGCTCAAAAACTGTGAGCTGGCTCACACTAACTCAGCTTAGAGGGAACACTGCTTGTGACATGTGGGGGTGGTGTCCAAAAATTATGCAATTTCCCTATCGCAGCTGCGCAGTCGAATCCAGCAAGCGCCTTTCATTTAAATCCTCGTGGTTCAGGTTTTGCACATGCATTTTAGTGTTAGTTCCTTGACTGAAAGGGAACAGGAGGGAAAAACGGCAAAGGGGGGAAACCCGATGTTGAAGCTGACCCGACTTTTTTTTTTTAACTGACCAGCAGCTACAACCCCCCGTTTTCCATATTGCCGAGCACCAGGGGCTTCTCTGCTGTGTTATTTTTTTGGAAAGAGTCACACAATCTCATAATATGGGGGAACATACTGAGTGTACAGAATGCAGAATGACATTGACATTGCAAGCTGTGATCGTTGGCAGTGTTTGTGTGTGTGCGCGCGCGCACGCCTGTGCAAAGTCGGCTGCAACTCCATCACACTTTGCACAGGGCTACAATTTGTATGGGGGAGAAGTCCTCTGGCAGAGTTTTTTTTAGTCTTGTGCCACAAAACTGAAGGGGGGGCGTATTTTCGCTGATGCCGTAGTGCAGTTGCATAGTAATGCTAATTTCCTGCCCTTCCTTGCAAATTTGCATGGTTTTCTCTTTGATCCTGCATACTGGCCATAACGTGATCTTGGCAGTTTTTAAGAGCCTCTTCTGTGTGGATTGTATTCTGTCCTCCAAATGGATCGATCCCAAGTGATTCTTACATTCAGCATTTCACAGAACATCCATGTGGCTCAGCCACCATTTTAATGCTAGGCTTCCAGAGACTCCCAAAATGGTCCTCCCCCCCAAACAAACTTTCTTCACAGAAGAAGAAGAAGAAGAAGAAGATTGGATTTATATCCCACCCTTCACTTGGAGTCTCAGAGCGGCTTTTGCGTTCTGTCAGTGTGCTGCCCACCCCACTCTCTCTCTCTCTCTCTCTCTCTCTCTCTCTCTCTCTCTCTCTCTCTCTCTCTCTCTGTTTACATCTCATGCCAATTTCATTCCATGCTGACAAACCCCCCCTTTATTTTGTTTGCATGCAGCACTGAAATTCATTTCCCACCCCCCACTGGGGCCACTGCCGTTTGCCTCCTTTCTGATCCTCCTTTCAAGTCAATAGCAGCAGGGAAAACCTTGCGCAGCTTCTTTTAAACTTCCCCCTCATTGTTTTAATGTTTTTATCCAGCGATCCAAGACTAGTGATAGTCACATGTCGCCGGACTCATGATGCTTTAAAAAGAAATTAAAAACAAGGGGAAAATGGAGCTTGTGCACCCATGGGGTGGGGGTGGCGGAAGGTTCAGAGTGGGCAGAATGACCTCTATGTGGGCGGGGGAGTGAACTTTGAGGGGTGGCAAAAGGGCGGGGGAGAAATCTGAGGGAATCTGTACGCTTTTGAGTTACCTTTGGCATGGAAGCAAAACAGGAGAAAAATCAGCACAAAAGCACTCTCAGAAATCCCGGGGAAACAGCGACCAGAAAACGAACTGAGCACTGAAGGGAGTAAAATCAATGCAGAATGACAAAGAAACCCGACAGACCCGCACGGTGAAAGCGAGAGGAAACACCCGTGCATAACAGGCCACAGATAAACAAGCAGGTGCTTGCAAGACTGTTCCAGAAAAGAGGCACACGGGTTCGCAGCCGTCACCTTACTGCTATGCCACAAGCCTCTCGGTGTAACAACGTAACGGGATTCATAGGGACTTGAACCCAGGGGCTCCTGGACTGGGCATCACCACAGCTGGCTGGGTGAGCTGCTCAAAGCAACAGAGGAAAAAAAGGGGTACACGGCCTCTCCCTCCCACACAACACCCCATTGCTTCTTCCCACAGACAGACGGGGTGCACAATCTGAACATCAGGTCAAAACCGATGGCTGCCATTCGCCACGATTTTCTGCAGGCACAGGGTGGGGAAGTTTTATCTCTTGGCTTATCTCTGTGGCGATGAGGAGGAGGAGGAGATTGGATTTATACCCCGCCCTTCACTTGGAGTCTCAGAGCGGCTTTCCCTTCCCCTCCCCACAACAGACACCCTGTGAGGTGGGTGGGGCTGAGAGAACTCTGACACAAACTGCTCTTTTTCAAGGACAGCTGTGCCAGAGCTTGCGACTGACCCAAGGTCACATCAGCAGGTGCAAGTGGAGGAGTGGGGAATCAAACCCGGTTCTCCCAGATTAGAGTCTGCACACTTAACCACTACCCCAAACTGGCCCCATCCCCGCCGAGGAGGCTCGCGGCCGCTGTCTCGGTTGCCAGGGCAGGCAAGGAGTCGCTGAGGGGACAGGGGAGCCGACTATCAAGGGTCAGGGAGTACAAGACGGCCACAAGGAAAAGCCCTTACCTCCAATTCTCGCATTGTATGCAATGCCCACTACGCAGTTTGAGTTATTCGCTGCCGCCGCTACTTCTCCAGCGCAACGAGTGCCGTGCCTAGAAAAAGAATTCGCAGCAAGGTTACGTGGGAAACACTCCTTTATTCGAAACAGCAGGCCTGCTTGATGTAGACAGTTCTGTCTCTATTAATAACCTTTTGTAGAAAACTGCTATTTTGACAGAGGAACGGAGGGGGAGGGGAGACGAGGGGCTGTTCGACCCCCTTCCTTCATCCTGTTTTCCTTGCTTAGAACGGCTACCCCCGGAGCTGCGTTTACCCACAGCATGTGGGAGGAGGAAGCCTTTTACAATCATGTACTAGGTAATGTCCAATGTGCAATTCCAGCCAGGGAATAAATGGGCAGCTCTGATACCCCCTGGTTTTCTGTGTGCAACTCGGTATGGACACGCCTGCTTTCAGAAGTTTCAAAAGTGTGCCAATTTTTTTGACTACTAATCCACTCAATTAGTGAGACATTTAAAAGATTAATGTCACTAAGGGAGGAAATTCACAGAAGGTCCCCGTTAAAAAAGGGGGGGGGGCTCTCGCTTCATCCGGCAAGTCTAGGGAACACATTTTGCCTTGCGGCCCACCATCTGCAGATTGTGCCACACCAAAAACTAACCATAAGCCTTCAAGGGAAAGATGGAAGTGTGTTTAATAAAAGATGGGAAAGGATGTATAAATGGATTTATGAAATATGGGGAAATCTAGACTCAAATGTATAAAAGAATGAACGTATGTAATCTTGAATAATAAGACTCAAGCTATTTGGAAGAAAGAATTTTTGTAAATGATAATGAATTGTGAAAATGATAAATAAAATTTTAAAAAACCAAACAAACAAATACTGCTTTTTGGGCCTGAGAAATACACCGACTAACCTCCCCCCACCAAATCAGCACAAACAATATAGCTCCATGCCATACATATGCAGTGATCGTGACGGCTCAACTCACATCCCACTAAACCAAGATTCAGAAAGCTTAACTGAGGTTAGGCACAAAATGTGAAACAACCAAATGGTAGCCCAGCAAAGCCAAATAATAAACTTTGCTTAGAGGAGAGTTAACACGAACCAGGCTTTTGTAATCTACGGCCTGCTCTGAAGTCTGAATTAACAGCAAACAAAGGAATCTGAGCGAGCTTCAAGTCCAGTCGCACTATAAAGACCAAAAAGATTTCCAGGGTATATAAGCTTTCAAAAGGCAAAGTGCCCTTTGTCAGGTATCTGACAAAGGGAGAGTTGACTCCCAAAAGCGCACACACCAAAAATCATGTTGCTCTTTAAGGTGCTACTGAAGGAGGAGGAGATTGGATATATACCCTGCCCTTCACTACCCGAAGGAGTCTCAGGGCGGCTTACCATCTCCTCCCCCTTCGCCTCCCCCTCCCCACAACAGACATCCTGTGAGATAGGTGGGGCTGAGAGAGCTCTTTCGAGAACTGCTCATCATAGGACAGCTCTGAAAGACCTTGTGACTGACCCAAGGTCACACCAGCAAACCGCAAACTAACACAGCTGCCCACCTGAAACTATCTTGAAGCAATCTGAAAATCACATGTATGTATGAAGTTCAGCTAGCAACTAATTTGTCATAAATTAGCAATGTTTAATAGGACTTAAGTGTCACAACATGTCAACTATATACACCTATTTTGACATATCACCTTTTCTGGCATCATTCCAGTGTCTTCAAACCGCTGCATGACAGAAAGAGATGCCAATGGGGCAGGTGTGCCCACCACGGATATGCAGCAATGGTGGGGGAGGGCAGCATATTATATTGTCCAGAGGGTCAAACCAGCACTTGGAACACCTGGGTTCAAATTCTGACTCTGCCATGAAGACAGCCAGTGTGGTGTAGTGGTTAGAGTGCTGGACTACAATTTGGGACACCCGGGTCTGAATCCCCACCCTGCTCGCTGGGTGACCTTGGGCCAGTCACGTGCTCTTAGTGTAGCCTACCTCTCAGGAGTGGTTGTGAGGGAAAAAATGGAGAAGAGGAGAGTGATGTAAGCTGCTCTGGGTTCACTGGATGGTTTTGGGTGCAGTCTTTCTCTCCCTCCCTCCCCCATTAACCTCCTCACAGAGTCCTCGGGAGGCTAAAACAAGGAGAGGAATACTGAGGAAGAGCAGGAACAACCGGTGATAAACAAATTCCCTCCTGGCAAAGTTCTGCCCATCATAAAAAGGTGCTACTGGTAGCAGAGTGCTGCCAAAAAAACATGGGAGGGGAATAAAATCAGAAAACCTTAACTTTGGAAATAAAATGCCAACTCTGCCCATGAACCTGCTTTGCACATCTTTCCCCCTAAATTTTGATTTTGATTTAAAAAAAAAACAAGCATGAAATGTAGGCCTTTTTAGGAATGTTTCAACTCCTGGTTCTTTCTGCAGAAAGCAAGATGAACGTTTGCTGCACCAGTTGGCTAATTTTGTCAGGATAGCACATTAAGAAGAGTCGCGAGTTCGGCTCCACAACCAGATCAGATTAAAACGGTCACACCCCCTTGCCATTTGAATGTTAAAACCATCAACTAGACTTACTTATTCTCATTGCTGTTGTCATAGCGTGGGGATGGATCCTCGTCGCTAGGTGGGGCTGAGAGAGCTCTTTCGAGAACTGCTCATCATAGAACAGCTCTGAAAGAACTTGTGACTGACCCAAGGTCACACCAGCAAACCGCAAACTAACACAGCTGCCCACCTGAAACTATCTTGAAGCAATCTGAAAATCACATGTATGTATGAAGTTCAGCTAGCAACTAATTTGTCATAAATTAGCAATGTTTAATAGGACTTAAGTGTCACAACATGTCAACTATATACACCTATTTTGACATATCACCTTTTCTGGCATCATTCCAGTGTCTTCAAACCGCTGCATGACAGAAAGAGATGCCAATGGGGCAGGTGTGCCCACCACGGATATGCAGCAATGGTGGGGGAGGGCAGCATATTATATTGTCCAGAGGGTCAAACCAGCACTTGGAACACCTGGGTTCAAATTCTGACTCTGCCATGAAGACAGCCAGTGTGGTGTAGTGGTTAGAGTGCTGGACTACAATTTGGGACACCCGGGTCTGAATCCCCACCCTGCTCGCTGGGTGACCTTGGGCCAGTCACGTGCTCTTAGTGTAGCCTACCTCTCAGGAGTGGTTGTGAGGGAAAAAATGGAGAAGAGGAGAGTGATGTAAACTGCTCTGGGTTCACTGGATGGTTTTGGGTGCAGTCTTTCTCTCCCTCCCTCCCCCATTAACCTCCTCACAGAGTCCTCGGGAGGCTAAAACAAGGAGAGGAATACTGAGGAAGAGCAGGAACAACCGGTGATAAACAAATTCCCTCCTGGCAAAGTTCTGCCCATCATAAAAAGGTGCTACTGGTAGCAGAGTGCTGCCAAAAAAAACATGGGAGGGGAATAAAATCAGAAAACCTTAAATTTGGAAATAAAATGCCAACTCTGCCAATTAACCTGCTTTGCACATCTTTCCCCTTAAATTTTGATTTTGATTTTTAAAAAAACAAGCATGAAATGTAGGCCTTTTTAGGAATGTTTCAACTCCTGGTTCTTTCTGCAGAAAGCAAGATGAACGTTTGCTGCACCAGTTGGCTAATTTTGTCAGGATAGCACATTAAGAAGAGTCGCGAGTTCGGCTCCACAACCAGATCAGATTAAAACGGTCACACCCCCTTGCCATTTGAATGTTAAAACCATCAACTAGACTTACTTATTCTCATTGCTGTTGTCATAGCGTGGAGATGGATCCTCGTCGCCTCCATTGACATCGTAGCTTGCACGGGGGTCCTGAAAGCAGGGGAGGGGATAGATTGCCCACATTACTAAAACCCATGGAAGGGAGGGGGAGGAACCAGTAGGAGGTTATTGTGACCAAAACAGTTTCACAATAGAGAATCTGGCTCCCTTAGCATGACACTGGTAATTATTGCAAGGAAATCACAAGCCTCAAGCTGTTTCAGAGGGCCCAACATCCACCATCAGGCCCAAAAGAAAAGTCACATCTAATCTAGTCTTTGAAGTTTGCAGCTGTAGACAGCTGGCGCAGTGTAGTAGTTAAAGAGTGTTGTACTAGTAGACTCATGTTCAAATCCCTGCTCTGCCATGGAAGCTCACTGGGTGATCTTGGGCCAGTCACAGGCTCTCAGCCTAACCAACCTCACAGGGCTGTTGTGAGGATAAAATGGAGGAGAGGAGAACAGTGTAAGCTGTTTTGTGTCCCCATTGAGTAGAAAAGCAGAGTTATCTATGAAGTAAGGAACTAAGGTAAAAGGTAAAGGTTTCCCTTGCTCGAAAGCCAGTTGAATCCAACTCCAGGGTGCGGTGCTCATCTCTGTTTCCAAGCCAAAGAGCCAGCGCTCTCCGAAGACATTTCCGTGGTCATGTGACCGGCGTGACTAGATGCCAAGGCGCACGGAACGCTGTTAACCTTCCCACCGAGGTGGTACCTATTTATCTACTTGCAATTTCTTGCTTTGATAAATGAGCCAACTTCATCCAAGGTTTAGAGTGCTGGAATAGATCTGGGTTCAAATTCCCATTTATCCAGCTATTCTCTCTTTCTAACAGGGTTATTACGAGGGTCTGACACTCTAACCAGTATACCACACTGGCGCTGAGATCAGTGGAGAAAAAGAAAGGAGATCTCAGGTTCATGAAGCTGTCCTGCCTAAAGCCTGAGATAGATCAGTGTCCGACTCAGGAGCCATGTACAGTCATGACAGTGAACACATGCATAATATGGCATTTGCTTTTTCTTCATATGTGCATTGAATAATTATTATATTACATTCAAGACATGTACAGCAGAAGGTGCACAAGTATCCAGGTATTGGTCCTTGGTTTTTATTTTCAAAGCATACATGCACTGGCTCTTTCTTACAAACAGATGTAGGCACACAGGATGCAGAAGAGATAAGAAGAAGAGATTGGATTTATACCCTGCCCTTCATTCAGAGTCTCAGAGCAGCTTAGACTCTCCTTTCCCTTTCCCTTCCCACAACAGACACCCTGTGAGGTAGGTGGGGCTGAGAGAGCTCTTTTGAGGACCGCTCGTGAGAGAACAGCTCCGAGAGAACTGTGACTGACCCAAGGTCACTGTGACTTGTGACTGACCCAGAATCACTGCACACACGTTCACTGTAACACGGGAACAGGGCTATTATAAAGCAGCTCTGTCTTGTTCCTGTGCTGGCTATCTCCCCATATATGGCATCCCCAAAGAGATTGTGAACAGTACAAGAGAATTCTCCTTTGCATGAGTGCCCACTTCGGCTGCTGGTACCTTACCTTACCTACTGCCTTGGCAGGAAGGGTGGGTTAGAAATCAAATAAATAAATAAATAAATAAATAAATGAAATAAAGAACATCCCCAGCATCCTGGACACCCTGATATTGCCAATAGCAGCCAGGGGCTGGCCTGTGACCTAGGAACTGTGAGTACCCTTTGGTAACAGCCAGACCGATTTCACACAAGAGCTGTGCCGCAGTCGCGCCTCCCTTTGCCCTGCTTCTATTGGTCAATTTCCCACTCGAAGCTGCGTGGCCGCGTTTTGACCTGCGGCTTTGCCCGATTTTCCCCACGGTTTCGTGATCCTGTTTTTTGAGGTTCACAAAACCACGGGGAAAATCGGGCGAAGCCGTGGGCAGTGTTCCCCCTAAGCTGAGTTAGTGTGAGATAGCTCACCGTTTCTTAGCTTCTGGCTCACACATTTTTGTCTTAGCTCAGGAAGGATGGCTCCAGAGCAAACTAATTTATGCAGTAGCCAAATTGCTCACTCACAACTTTAATGCCAGTAGCTCACAAAGTAGACTTTTTGCTCATAAGATTCTATAGCTTAGAGGGAACATTGGCCGCGGGTCAAAACATGGCCGTGCGGCTTCGAGTGGGAAATTGACCAATAGAAACGGGGCAAAGGGAAGCGTGACCGCGGTGCAGCTCTTGGGTGAAATCGGTCCCAGTGTTGTGTAGTGTTTAGAGTGTCAGATTAGGTTCTGGGAGACCCAGGTTCAAATCCCCACTCTGCCATGGAAGCTTGCTGGGTGGCCTTGGGCCAGTTGCATCGTCTCAGCCTAACCTACCTCACAGGATTGTTGTCCATATAAAATGGAGAAAGTTTTGGTCCCCATTGGGAAGAAAAGTGGCTTTAAGCAGACAAAACAAGGACATCGCATCAGCTCTGCAAGGGGAGCTTTGGGCCTCCCGGATACACACTGGTCTTTTCCTGCTTGTGACCAGCGTTCCCCCTCCCCCTAAGGTTGCCAACTCCATTTGGGAAATTCATGGAGATTTGGGGTTCAGACAGGGGAGGAAGTTCGGCTGGGATGTGATGCCACAGAGTCCACCCTCAGAAGCTCCTGGTTTCCTCCACTGCGGCCTGGAGATCAGTTGTTTTTCCTGAGATCTTCCAGGCCCCACCTGGAGGTTGGCAACCCTACCTCCCCAAGCCACTTTCACATCCTCAGTCTGCTCCACTGGAGGGGGAAAAATCAAGATGCTCACATGGGCTACACACAGTTTCCACAACAGAGCCAAAAATGATTCTGAAGGTGTGTTCAGGGGCGTGAGCAACTGTGAGGAGGGGGGCTGAAGGTGCGTCTTCCCTGCATGCCAGGGCTGTGAGCCCAAAAGGGCCAGCGCAGGAAACTGGGAAGCACAGAAGTCCCATTGCACCCCCTGACACAAAGGCCTCGATGCCATCCAAACCCACACAAGGACTTGGCAATGTGTCACAAGACGCCTTAAGAAGGATCAGAGGACGCTTCAAGGGGCTCCACAATTTTACTTACGTAGTTTTGTATGAGGTCAGGGTGCTGCTTTTCAATGCCATCGTCGAGAATGGTTACCACGACGTCCCTGCCCGTGTAGCCTCTCCGCCAGGCAGCCAGAACATTCATTTCCGACCGGCAATCACTGTCGTTGTCTTCACAGTGCTGAGGAGCAAAATAAAAGGCGGCATGGAGATTTAGCTGTGGACTTCACCATGCTTTCCGCATTACAGGCTAACAAGCAATGCCACACAGCAGAGTCTGTGACCCAAAAAGCCAAACTTGATTGGGAGTGGATGGGAAAGTGCCAAGACCCCTTTCCAGAAAGAATTTCATTTACCCCACTGGTGCACTGCCACAGGAAGTGGTGGTGGCTACAAGCATGGTCGGCTTCAAAAGGGAATTAGAGAAGCATATAGAGCAGAGGTCCATCAGTGGCTATTAGCCACAAGGTTTAGATAGGGGCTCTGGGGCAAGTGATGCTCTGTCTTCTTGGTGCTTGGGTGGGGGCAACAGTGGGAGGGCTTCTAATGTCCTGGCCCCACTGGTGGACCTCCTGATGGCACCTGGTATTTTTGGCCACTGTGTGATACAGAGTGTTGGACTGGATGGGCTTTTGGCCTGATGCAATATTGGCATCTCTTATGTTCTTATGTTCTTAAGCCTGTGGGCCCCCAAGTTGCTCCCACAGAATTGCCAGTGTGAGACTATTCCACTATTCCACTATTCCACTACAGAGCACTTGGACTGTTTATAACTTGCAGATAAGGTCCTTTCTATTTTGTATTTGTATTTCTTTTGTATATGGAGAGGATTTGATGTTCTACAGAATGTTGCACTTAATGTTGCACTTAAGCTTGTAGTTCTGTACAGTATTTCTTTAAATCCCGATTTCTTATTGCCTCCAAGCACGCTAATATGGAAGCTGTCACTGCCAGCTTTCAGAGGCATTAAGGTGAATACTTTAAACATAGTTTACATAGTAAAGTTGGCTTAGAATAATATTGAAGACACTGAGCTTAATATAATAATACTATTTTAATGCATATCAGTTTGTTTACAGTTTTGATGGTTTGTTCTCTGCGTTTTTCCTTTCTTGGTTGCTAAAGCTGACACCTTTTTTACCTCACAAGGATAAGAACAGAAGAAGAGCCCTGCTGGATCAGACCAATGGTCCATCTACTCCAGCATCCTGTCTCACACAGCAGCCAACCAATTAGCCCTGGAGGGCCAACAACAGGGCACAGAAGCCAAGGCCTTCCCTTGACGTTGCCCCCTGACTCTGGGATTGAGGTTGACTGCCCCTGAAAGTGCAGGTTCATCTCAGTCGCCATGGCTAGTAGCCATTGATAGATCTATCCTCCAAGAATCTATCTAATCCCCTTTTAAAGCTGTTGATTCCTGTGGCCATCACTACATTCTCTGACAGCGAATTCCACATTTTAAACTCTTCAGGAGGTAAGCATATCCTCCCCAAATGTGGTCAAGCTCCCTTTACAATTTCTTGTGCAAAAAGTTCTCTTAGCTCCAACTGTGTCAGGAGAAATAGGAAGGGACAGCTCTGTCCACCTTTCCCCCCATGGTCTTGTTCTCTTCTCTTTCTCACCAGCTACAATTATTTATTTACTTATTTCATTTAAACCCTGCCTTTCTCCCCAGTGGGAACCCATTGGGGTTTACATTGTTCTTCACGCCTCCATTTTACCTTCACAACAACCCTGTGAGGTAAATTAGGCTGACAGAATTACTGGCCCAAGGTCACCCAGTGGACTTCCATGCCAGCATGGGGTTTCCCCACATCCTTGCCCAATAAACTAGCCACTACACTACTATGGCTTTCTAATAAGCAGGTTGCCCAGTGTGACAGAAGCACAGAGGGAATGGGTGGAAGCAGGGCTTTTTTTGTAGAAAAAGCCCAGCAGGAACTCATTAGCATAATAGGCCATACCCAACAACAGGAACTCATTAGCATATTAGGCCACACCCCGACAGCACAGCTTATTCACATATTAGGCCACACCCCCATGTTACCAGAAGTGTTGTCATCCAACCACACCCACCTTTTGCTTCTTATTCTCTTTACCTTGTTTGTTGTCAAAACCCAGGGCCTTTTGTTTGGAGCAGGAACTCCTTTGTATGTTAGGCCACACCCCCTAATTGTAGCCAGTCCTAATGAGTTTCTTCTGCCGTTGGGTGTGGCCTATTATGTTAATGAGTTCCTGCTGGGCGTGGCCAACTTGGGAGCCAGCCGGAACTCCGTTCCTGTGCGTTCCTGCCCAAAAATAGCCCTGGGTGGAAGGAACTGTGAGTCTCTTTTCTCCCACATCAATTCAGACATTTAAGGGGAAATTGTCTCATGTCTGGCATAATCCTACTGGTCTGCTGTGACAACAGTTACGGCATGCACACAACACACATACACACACACACACAAGCGCACACACAAGCGCACACAACCAAGTGTATAGTTACCATGTACCACATTTCAGGCCAGAGTGGGTCACTGAAGGAAACAAAATGGTGGTCGCTTCGAGCATGTCTTTTGACTCTTCGTTTCACTTCTTGTTGCTGCAGCCATGTTACCTGGAAGGGGTGGGGGGAGATATTAAAATAGAATTTTAAAGGGTTAAAAAATGTTTCTCACCACATGTCAGGATCCTGGTTAAATCAGTTCTCAACACCAGTCAGTTTGAAGAAAGCTAACTTTATTGAGACGGTTGATAGATACCATCCTGGACACATCTATTGTTAGGACTGAAGTTGAAGGTGCGGAAGGTTGCAGATATAATGGATTCAAATAAAGGCACTAAAGATCTGGACCCAATCACCCCATGGTATTTGCCCGCCAGAACTAATTGTCAGCTCCCCCACACACCCTGGCACGTAGCCCCTACATAACAAGGAAAACAGGATCACAGACATTTGAGAAGCCAGGACATTTGGCACCGCTAAGGACACATCAAAGGGAGAGAGAGGAACCTCCTCTCTCAATGGCAGGCAAGCAGGCATCACCTAAGGAGGGGGTTATTTTAAAAACCTGGGTTTCAGTATTCTAGAGGCAGCTCACAGTAAATGCAAGACCAACAAAAAGAACCACCTTTTCCCCCAGTGTTAGCCTCATAATGCTACAGTCATTCACCCTCCAACAGGCCTCCCAATCCACAGCAAGCATGTTACCGCAGAAAAGGCACCAGCCTGCTGCCTGTGTACATCCATCTGGCCTTGGATCACAATCGCCCTTTTAAAATTAATTGGTCTTAATTTCAGCAAAAGAAGACGCCGTAAGACTTTTCCAAAAGAGAGACAGCTTGCTCAATTAAAAGCATTGTACATATAAGGGGGGGAAATTCCCTTGTTTGAGGATCAAACTTCATGCAGTGTCAGAACTCTGACATGTTAATTTTAGGGGGAGGGAAGGTATTTGGCGGGTTTTGTTTTTAATCTGTGATGTTTTAGTGGCTACTTCTAAACTGCCTGGAGCCAAGAGGAAAGCAGTCATATAAATGTTTTAATAAATATATAACTGGCCCTACAGAGAAGCCAGCAGGGGAGGAGAGTTATGGATCAAGGCTGCCGTGGTGATCAGAGTAGGTTTAGCTGCTTCCCACAGTGATCAAACCTACCCTCCCAAGTTGCTTTTTGCCCTAGTAGAGAGATCAGGAAAAAAGACAGTACAGTGTGGTGCTTGTCTCCCCCCCCCCCTTACTGAGCTTAAAAACAACTTGTGCACATGTATTTTCAGCTGAGGGAAATGGGAAGGGGGGAAGGGAGGACTACCAGCCTCTCACACACAGGTACTATTTAGGGTTTGAAAAAAACCAACAAAACATCAGCAGCTCCTACCACAAAATTCGAACATTACATTCCCTTTGACCATGACCAGGGCTATTTTTGGCCGGAACACACTGGAACGGCATTCTGGCTGGCTTCAGAGCCTGCCCCGCCCCTCCCCGCCCACGCCCCGCCCTGCAGAAGAAGGAGTGGCGACAAGCACGTAGAGCACATGCACTCGCCGCTGCTCTGCTGCACCTCCCTGCCTCAAGGACTCTTCCTCAGGTAAGGTAACGGTCGGGGGAGGCAGGCGGTGGGTAGGCCGGCCTTGGGCATCCTCCTTCTCCTCCTGGGCAGCACCGTCGAGGGACGGCGCCATCGATGGAGGCAGGCGGGGGGTGGGTGGAGGTGGGAAGGCCCTGGTGCCCTCTGCGGCAGCCAGCACGATCAATGGAGGCAGCACGGCCCAGCAGCCCGGGAGGTCCTGCCACGGCCATCAACGCAGGCGAGTGGTTGGAAGGCCCTGGCGCCCTCCCTGCAACGTGTGAGAGCCTGCCGCCAACATCGATGGAGGCTGGCAGCGTGGGTGGGAAGGCCCAGGCACCCTCCTCGCAATGCAGCCTAGCAGCGCTGTCGGGGGAGGCGGCCATAGGCTTGCCAAGAGACAAGAACTAGAGCGTCAGCTGGAGAATCGCTAGAACCCAGTTCCCTTTATGCTGCGCTTGCGCCCCCGATGATTTCCTGTCGGCCTGGCTTGAGGATTGGGTGCTGGGCTTCTTGCTGTTGCCCAGCCACCTGTCCCTCTCAGCTCAGTCAGGCCGTGTGTGAGGCAAGCAGTCGCACCATTAGCCCTCCGGAGCCAGCCAACAGTTTGGATGGGAGCCCCAGCTGCCCAGTTGGCAGCCCCTTGCCAGGCGGGAAGGTAAGGTTTAGGTCAACGGCTCTCTCAGAGTCGGGGTTCTTCTTCAGACTTTGTTGTGGTTCTGCGGCCATCAGGGCTTGGGGTCCATGTGTGCGTGTGTGGAGGGAGACAGCGCTGGGCGCATGGCTCAACTTCTCCCTGGCCCCTTGGCTGCCGTAGCAAGAGACCTGCTGTCATCAGGGCTTAGGATCCATGTGTCTATGAGAGAGAGAGAGCGTGCAAGTGGGGTGGGGGGAGACAGCGCTGGGCGCATGGTTCAACATTTCCCTGGCCCCTTGGCTGCCCTAGCAAGAGCCCTGCTGTCATCAGGGCTTGGGATCCACGTGTGTGTGTGTGTGTGTGTGAGTGAGAGAGAGAGCTCATGCGAGTGGGGGGGGGGAGACAGCGCTGGGTGCATGGTTCATCTTCTCCCTGGCTGCCATGTCAAAATTCTTTCCCTGGTCAATCACTGCCCATTCAGACCCCATTTAAATTTAGGATTTTTTGAACTAATGTGCCTCACCTATAATTATTCAAGAAAAAGAAAACAGAATAAATAGATAATTGCCAAAGACAATGAAGAGCAACAGAGGGGATGGGAACAGTTTTGAAATAATTTCTGAAGGCTCCTTCAGTTTGTTTTTGTTGAAACCGCAAGCAATAAGTACAAATTACATGAAAGTAAATGAGGGCACCTTTCATAAATCACACAGATGTGGGTCGAGGGCAGACGAACGCGCTGCAGCTCCGCTCGTCTAGCTCTTTCCTTTGCTCTTCCTAGACAATTACACCAGTCTAAGCACTCTCCTGGAGAGAGAGTACTTGCAGGGAACTCTTACTCAAAGCTGAAATAGGGTGGCGACCCTTCCTTCAAGCTTTTTCGAGTCTGTTCCAGATACAGAGAGCCCTAAGGACGCCCGGTGAGATGTTCCACATCAGCACGAGCACCAGAGAAGGCCAGCGAGCCCAAAGAATCTACACCCTATACTCCAGAACTCAAAGAAAGAACCGACATAATATACGAAGCTAGGTATCTTCAACTGAAAATCTCATCTCTCAGTGGAAAGTGAAGCTAAATTAGATACCCCACAGTAAAAGTTAGAGCAGATGAGTGCCAAGTGGCTAGTAATTTAAATAAAGCTCAGAAGTTGCAATTGAGAACAGAGAGAAGAATTAGATACGTTTAGAAGCCATATAGGAATCCAACTTTAGATAGAAATGTTTACCACATAATTTGGTCTGTTTTCTTTCCTTGTAGCATGGCCACAGTTTCTTTAAGAGAGGTGACGTTGCGGAACGGAGCGTTTCTTCAGAAAGAGAAAAGAGAGGCGGCGCCAACTGACGTGGTAAAGAGACAACGCAGAGTGGTCTGCTAGAGGCGATGGGCAGAAGAGACGCTGAGAATGTGACACGACGAAGAGGCAGGGAGAAAGAGGTGTGGAAAGAAGACAGCGAAAGATGATGAAAGAACGAAGCAGGGAACGAAATAGACAGACTGACAATATACATAAGCGGATACATCCTTTTGTGATAGAAAGAAAAAGAGGCATTTAAAGTGACATAACTTGATACAACTTGATGGAAACTAGCTGAAACTAAAAGTAGAATAAGACGCTTAAAGGGACAGGGCATGAATAGTATTAGAACATATTAACTGGATACAGAGTGAAACAGGATTAAAGCATTGCTAAAGAAAAGGGAACCTAACTAATGAAATAGTAAAAAGGGGAAACTACTTATAACAGATCATAAAAAGAAAGAACAGGGAGAACATTTACAGAATTTTAAAATAAAAGAGATTGGTACTAGATTAGGTAACAGGGGGTAAGATCAGAACTGACCATATAGCATCAGGTTCTGCCAACAGCAGGAAAAGCTCTATACCATCCCCTGGTCAAGCAGGAATAACAAGTTATTTAAAAATGAACGTAGCCCAAATGAATATAAAAGATCTAAAATCTATTATCCAAGAATGTATAACACAAGCAATACAACAATCAAATGAAACCACACTACCAGCTTTGATTAAAAAAGAAACACAGCAATTCAAGAAAAGATGGATGAAATCTCAAATCAGATAAAAACAGAAACAGAGGAAATTAAAAAAACAAATAGCTGAAAATCAATTAGAAATAAATAAAATCACAACTACTACCAATATTTTAGAAGAAAAAGTACAAGCTATAGATCAGGAGTTGCAAGACCTAAAAATTAAGAGTGACAAAATGGAAGAAGCCTTAATTAATCTAGAAATGGAAAAGGCTGGATTAATAATGTGTCAAAATATAACAGAAAGCATTGATAAAAATTTAAAAGAATAGCCCAAAATCTGGCAGAACAACTCAACATTGGAACAAAAGAAGAAGTATTAGCGGAGATAGATAGAATATCTAGGAAAAATTCGGCATATGAAAAAAGAAATAAAATACCCAGAGAAGTACATGTAAAATTTTACAAAAAGGAAACAAGAGATAAAATTCTCAAGGATTCCAATGAGAACAAGGTTATAATAAAAGAAGTAGAGATCAGATTGTTAAAGGAAATACCTTGGAGGGTAAGAGAAAAAAGACAGAAATATACAATTTTGACAAATGTTCTCATAGCAAATGGAGTAACTTTTAGATGGCTAGAAGGTGTATTATATAATTACAAAACTAAAAGACAAAAAATAGATTCGATCTTCAAGGTAGAAAACTTCTTGGATAAACATGGTGAAGAATTGGGCTGGCAAAAAGAAGAGGAAGAAGAAGAGGAGGAGGAGGAAGAAGTTGCTCTAGACACAGCAGAAGATCTATCTGAACAAGGGAAGGGGGAAAATCCAAAACCTACAAAGAAAACAGGAAAAAAAGATAAGGGAACAACCCAATCCCAAGTACTAACTAGATTACAAGAAAAAGCGAGAGCTAGGGGC